GGGTCATGCTTGATGCAGTGACCTTGGACTCCCACGTCTGCAGGACCATAGCTTCTGTAGGTTGCTTTAAGCTTTATGAATCCACACTTTGGAGCTTGGTCACATTCTGGGCACAGTCTGAATTTATGGAAGCAGAAAGGGAGAAATGAACTTTGAGTAAGCAACCAGCAATAGCTGGTTACACCTCCAGCAGCAGCATCACTGGCAGAACAATGGCTGATAACCATGTGCTGGTAGTCAGCCTGGGTGAGTCTGGTATTTGTGGTAACCAAAGAGACATTTTTCATTCACTGAAGAAGCTGTGGAACTTTGAGCTTCCTCTCAAGCCCGAGACCAGTTTCTCTATCGCCATTAATACTTAAGTGTTCAGACTTTTCTAGACTTTTCAGTGACCCAGTCCTAACACGATACCTTTCAGAATTGAGGAGCTCAGTTTGTCACATGGTCTAGAATTTTAATTGAGCCACATTTGCATCTGTTGAAAACATAGTGATTAGGTATGTCTTAATTGCAGAATGACTGGCACATCAAAGGGAATAAGCAGCTTCACGATTTACCTTTTTAAAAAAGGAATGAGCAAGTGTCATCTTCATAGTAATCACTCAGGAGGGGCTGGGAGTTCGGTGCCAGGGGCACATTCAGACGCAGAACTGTGGTAAAAACAACAGGGCTTTCTGTTTTTCAGAAGGAGATAGCATCTTCCTATGTACAGGTTGTCTGTAAAGGTCTATGAAGATGAGCATGATCAAAGAGGAAAACAAGAACATTTATGCTGCATTTAAAATAGTGTATTACCTAAATATAAATTCATGATTAGTTCTATACTGGAGCTTATTATAGGAGCAGAACAGAGTGAGTCATTTGCTACTGAGGCATTGCCTGTATTTTCTTAGTAGCATTATTGTTCACATGAGTATTTTGCATTTTCTTAGCTTAAGGAAATAAAATATTTCATAGTCCTTACTTTATATAAAGCTAGTCCTAAATATGCAGGCTTAGGATTTAATCGTAGCACCTAATATATATCTGTGTCCTTAAATCGCATGTGTTTTCCACAAGTTAAACACATGTAACTAATTTATTTGAGCTTTTTTTTTTCTTTAAGTGTTTCCACATAGGAAGAGGGTATAGTGGGAAATTCTTTTTGTTCTGAGTTTAAGTGTATATAATGTGACTCCATAAAAGAACATCTTATGTTTGTACATATGAAATTCCATATTGCTAAATATTTTTAATTAGTTGGCATTCAGAGACTTTGGTTAGATCATCATGCCCCCAGCAGCTTTTCTGTGATGAGGTATTACCTAAATTTGAATGTGTAAAACAAGAGTCAAGAGTCCTCAGATGTGCAAGAATCATTTAAACAGTGTATTCGCTTGGGGCAGCAAATCGAACTAGGAGTTTTCATCTTATAAAATGAGATTACAAAAGCAAAGTTAATAAATCATTTAATACTTTCTGTTTTATCCAATTTAGGAAATACATTGTGTTATAGACATGAGAAAATCATTCTGAATATGGAAAGAATTGGCACAAACATTACTTCAGCATATAGTGAGTTGTGAAGGCACCATGTTTATTCTGTGATGGAGCCAAGAGAAGACATATGCCCCCTGAAGTCCTGCCAAAACTGTTAGGCAGAAAACCGACCGTATTGCTACTCATACTCCATTCATGATTTATGATAATGGTTTCTGTGGAAGACTAAATCATTTACATTTATTGAGTTCTCTTTTTGTTTTAGACATTATAGTGGGTCGTAAAATCTATTAGATGATATACATAGAATATACCTGAAACCAGATAGAGCTAATTCAAGTACAGTGGGTATCTATGCCATAGCATTTTATGAGGCTTTGTTGGAGGAGAACAGGCATTTTTTTTTCTGATGACAGAGGGATTGTGGTGCTCAGATGCTGGATCCAGGCGTGGTTGGGAATTCAGTGTTCAGGCCAGTATCTTTCATTTCCATAGGCATTGCTGTCTGCTTGCCGTCTTCGTTTCAGGAGTGAAGAGGATGGGAGACAGACTTGTATGGAAAGTGTTTGAGATGTGCAATGATAAAAGATTATGTACTGGATGGAAGTTTTAGTAACAATTTGTTCCTAAGCAGGACTCACAAAAATATCCAATAGCTTCCATTTAGCCCATTACAATATTCTAGTATACTTAGGTTTTGAAATTCCTGAAAATCATTTCCTGGTAATTTGATCAATTATTACAAATTTGGGACCACACCCATTTTCCAAAGTGTTGAAGAAGGTCTGTGTGGGTAGAACATAGTCATGTTCAGAGGTTTGAGGTCCTGATCTCTGCTAAAAGCTGTAGTTGCATTCTCATAGATTGCTCTTCACTTGAAATGACATGTGTGCAGTAAGATCAAGGCCAACTTGTAGGCGGACTTTTCTATGTTCCAGCAACTGCTACAAATAACCACTTAGAGACTTATTATTAATTACAAATGCTCAGCTGGTAGCTCAGGCTTATTACTAGCTAACTCTTAAATTTTAAATCAACCCAGATTTCTTATCTACCCTCTTGTTACATGGCAATACTCTCAACACGGCACATTCACCTTGCTTCTCTCTGCCATCTGCATGCCACTCCCAAGGACCCACCCTTCTTCTTCCCAGTGTCCTCTTAGTTTGGATCTCCCATCTAATCTCTCCTTGTCCAACTATTGGCCAGTCATATTTTTATTAACCAATGAGAGTAATGCATACTTACAGTGTACAAAGTTTGTTCCACAGCAGCAACTGGCCAGGATCTGTGTTCCATGTTATACACATTTCACAAAAATCACAGCCTTGGTTCATCATTATGTATAAGGCTACAGATTGGGTGTCTACTTAAAAATGCTAAGTGGCTCCTTCTAACAAACTCCATTGGTTAATATCTGTATATTCACAGATGATAAAAGAAGCAGGTTTTCTGAGGTCTCTTTTTGTTTTATTTTGAGACAGGGTTTAATGTAACTAAGGCAAGCCTCAGTTACTATGTAGCTAACATAGCTTTTAAGAAGCACTAAGAATGTATATGTGTGTCAAAATGTAGCTATGTGCACATATAAGTGAAGGTACCCACCAAGTCTAGAAAGGAGCATCAGATCCCCTGGAGCTACAGTTAGGTCAGGTGGTTGTGAATAAGTCTATTATTTTTCAATTATGCATATGGGAATAAGCAGTGCCCTTGTAGAATAGAAGCACTGGATTCTTCTTGAGTTAGAGTTACAGGTGTTTGTAAACCAACCAGTGTGGTGCTGGGCTTCAGCTCAGGTCCTCTGGAAGAGCAGGGAAGGATCTTAGCCACTCAGCCATCTCTCTAGCACCTGTGTTGAGGCTTTGGTTGTGTCTAGGTTGTGTCCTAAGAGAAGAAATACATTGGTTCCTGTCTTAAGGTGTATATTGCAAAGAAAAGATTCTTTGTCTTGCTTTTTTGTCCTTCTTCTCTACAACTGGCATCTTTAAGACAGTACAGAATAGTACTGCTTGGCCATACCATCATTTTATAGACTAGGCTCACATGTTTGAGGATTTAACTAATAGCAGAAATCTGAGATGCCTAGATGAAATCTAGGATGTTGTCTGTGGTCTTCATCTCTTGGTACTTATATCACTACCCTGGTGCCCTGTGGCTGATAGAGAGCTAAGGCTATTGATCTGATTTGTAGGCAAAAGCATTTAGAAGAAGCTTAGTTGTCATATTATGCTCCATATTGCTGTAAGTTCACGAACATGGATCTATCTCTGTTGAAAGCTAGAAAGAGATTGCCTTAGGATTCAAGAGTGACTTGAAGCCTGCCTAATCTTTACTGTGTGTATTTGGAAGACAGATTTATGGCTGGATCTCAGAACTGATCTCTAATAGTTCCTGTTTTTAGGCCTCTGTGTGTCTCCTAACAATCAAAGTAAGTTCTTTGAATAGAAGAAATCTATGTCAGTTACTTGTCATTCCTTAAAATACAAAACACTTAGGGACCATGAACAGGCTGGCTCAAAGAAGGGCATATTGTTATCACTAGCTAGTCATCTGTAAAGCCAGAAGGAGTGAGTTACTGACTCACTAGTTCTCATGGATCATCCACCCCTGCAGCTGTGGCATTTGCTAAAGTGCTTGCCATAGAAACATGGCTCCCCAGCACCAACATAAAAAGATGTGCATAGTGGTGTGCCTGTGTGACTGCAGCCCTGTGGAAATAGGCAGGAGGATTCTGTGGGACTAGCTGGATATCCATCTAATCCACTTAACAAACCCCCAGGCCAGTGACAGCCAGGATCTCAAAATACAAATGGTCAGTGTCTGAGGCACAACACTGCAGGTTGACCTTTGGCCTCCTCACCCATACACATGTATCCACACCCATACACCCATGTATACTCATGTGAACACAGACATACACACCACACACATACATACACATACAAAGAATGTGGGCGATTATTGCATCCACTATGTAATGTAGGGCTCACTATGGCATTTACATGTGGTGCTAGCCTTCCACAGTAATCACACAAGGAGAGCCTGAAGACTTGCTATCTCCAGAAACCACATATGAGTGTATCAGGTAGCTTGCTGCTGGAAGGTCATGCTGACATGGTTGTTGCTAGGGAGTGGTGTCATTTAGCAAATTAAAGATGTGTACACAGGTGTCTGCAGGACCTTTAACCAAGGGGGAAGAAGCACAGAGGAGGAACAGTTTGCTGATTTGCTTTTCACTTTGTCCTGCTGGGTCTGTGGGTCCCTGCCTACCATGCAGACTCTGTAGCAGTGCAAGTACCATGTTTTGTATGCCCAGCCTGATCTCCCCTGCCCTGGTGTCCCATCTTCCTGTGGGTTTTCCTGTGCACCCAAGTCACCATATCACATGTTCTTCTGCTTCTGCATGTGGTCCCTTATGCTGTAGAAACTGGCGGAGAGCGTGGTCCCATGTGCCATTCAGTGCCCTGGTTTTGTTGCTGTGGCTTACTGTATTCCCTCTCTTCCTTTCCCCCCCTTTCAAGTGGAAGAAGATACGGAAGAAAGCTCGAGGTCAGGGAGGGAGTCTGTGTCCACATCCAGCGATCAGCCTTCCTACTCTCTGGAGAGACAAATGAATGGAAACCCAGAGAAGAGGGACAAGACTGATAGGAAAAAAGACAAAACTGGAAAAGAAAAGAAGAAAGACCGAGAGAAGGAGAAGGATAAGTTGAAAGCCAAGAAGGGGATGCTGAAAGGCTTGGGAGACATGTTCAGGTAAGTATCTGAAGACAGACAGGAGCAGTCCTGGGCAGAGGCTTGAGCTGCTCAGTGAAGGGATGTGCTCAGGCAATGTGCTGTGCAAATAGCCCACGGTGCAGTGACCGAGACCCCGCTGCCCCAGCCAGTTGGTTTTCTTATGTGTGTGGCACATGACTGTAGGTGACTGAGGTTGACAGGAAGCACCTCTCTGAGACCAACCTATATCCTTATCCCCTTTCCGGTCTTAGCTGCTGCATTTTCATGTTCTCAACGATTCCACTGTGGTTATTTTGAGCTGTTTTAGCAGCCTTCGTTGTGGTATCTTGCCAACCACACAACAGTTGTGAGGAAGCAGGGACTCTTTCTTCTTCCCTCTGCCTGCAAAAGGCCCACAGAGAAAAGGGCCTATTAAAGTGTTGTTTGTTCTTTTTGTGTGGGAACAATGGTTCATTATTTAAATCTAGCACAGACCTCAAGTTAGTTGTAGCATTTAAAGGCTCATTAATAACAAGTCTAATAAAAATGTTACAGATAGAGCTTCAATTAAGCTATGTTGATTAATTTAATACTTATTACTTCAGTCTGTAAAGATTTCATTAGATATAGTCTCTGGCTGTTTCTTGACAGTTGGTTTTGTCCCTAAATTACACTCTAGTGTTACTTAGCATATCATTTCTTACAAATTGCTGCTACAATAAAGAAACCAAACTGTTTAGAAGTTGCACCAAAATCCTCTTCAGTGTTCACCTTAGGTAAAATTATTCATAAGATCCAGGTATCTAATGTGAAATATGGAGGTGATGAATGCCTCACAGATTAAGTGCTGCATAGAGGAATGCAGTGTTTAAAATTGAAAACAAGATATGTACGTAGCTTCTGACTTTTCTAAATATAGTGAGTTATCCTGTGTTGTGAGTTCTTTCCCTTTAACTAGTTTTTAATTCTAAAATGTGAATATGAGTTTTTGTTTTCCTAGAATTTCTTTATTTATAGTCCTCAGGTTGACCTCAACCTGTAGTCTTCACAGCAATGTATTCTGTGGATGTCTGATGGGTCAAACCTGGGGAAGAATGAAAGTGGAGACTCCCATTGGCTCATGTTGGCCTGTCCGTGGGCTCAGCTTTAATGTATAGAAAATCGTGTGCTTGTTTTCTACCCCCAGAACCTTGGCATCTTCATAGTTTTTCATGCAAGTTTTTCTTGTTAATATGCTGCTCTTTCTGACTATGCTTTCTCCCTGATGATCTTTCTTCATTATATTGCATATTGCATGCCCATACATATTTATAGGATGAAATCGTTCTAACTGCTACTAGATTCCAGCTTCTGTGATTCTGCAGGAAGCATGGGGTTCGTTCCACTTTTGCCAAGTGGCAGCGCATGATCTGGCACCCATACAATACACGGTGATGAAGCTGCCACCTCTCAGTAACCTCTTGGGAAATCTGCACTGTGGTCTTTGTCAGTTAAACAGTAAGAGGGGAAGGAAACCTGTCCTAGGCATGTGTCCCACTTCAGTCTATAGCTCTCCCCTGAAAACCAACAACAGACTGTTGATGTTGCTTCACCATTAGTGTTTGCGCAATAGATCCAAGGCTCTGTTCTTTTTTTTTAAAGATGTATCTGTCTGTCTGTCTATCTGTCATCTATTTGTTTGTTCGTTCGTTCATTCATTCATTCATTCATTCAGTGTATATGAGCGCTCTATCTTTATGCCAGAAGAGTACATCTGATCCCAGTATGGATGGTTGTGAGCCACCGTGTGGTTGCTTGGAATTGAACCCAGGACCTCTGAAAGAGCAGTCAGGGCTTTTAACTGCTGAGCCATCTCTGCAGCCCTGATCTCTGTTCTGAATGGGAAATAACAGATGAAGTTCCAACTTGAAGGACTGCCTTAATTATGCATCCTTTGTCTGCAGCTTGCAGCTGCAGTGATGGCGCTTTCTACTGTGGGTCAGTGACGGGGACTATGTCTCCTGAGGAGTAGCTCTCTCTGCTGAGTGCCCTAGCAAGCACTGTGTGATGTGCCCTCTCGTTCTGAACCCACAGGCTTGCTTGAAGAGAGAGCCAGCTTTGTGACAAAGAAGTTTGCCTGTTTGGAAATCCAAAAGCCTTCATGCTGGCGCTAAAGGTTTTTATTTTGTTTTGTGAAGTTGAGTTCACATTCTCCCAGTGTGTAAGAAGACAAACCTAGGCACATCAGCTTTCATGGGCACCTGTAATGGGTTTCTTATGGAGTTAGTCCACAATGCCCAGCTTTAAGACACTGTGTAAAGCTGTTGTTAAGTACAGTCATTATTAAAAGCAAATTAAATTTTAAAAAATCAAAGGTAATGAATGGTCAAAGTTCATCAGTTCTTATTTTTTAAATGTATACTATGATCCCTGCTTCTGAGATGACTGCATGCTGTGAGCTCTAGGTTCTTGCAATGTCCTGCCTGGCTTGTGAGCAGCCATATCACACACCCTATCTAAATCAACCATTTTGGGAGGTTGTACTAGGGAGGCCAAGGAATCTCACCAGACAGGATTGTTCTTACTTCACATGTTAGAATACAAATGTGTCTGTGGGTACGACTACAGCATCTTTTCTGCCTGGAACATGGATGAGTTTTAAGTCTACACTACTGCTTCACTACTGCATAATCATAAAACAGTTTGTGTGTGTGTGTGTGTGTGTGTGTGTGTGTGTGTGTATGCACACACATACTCATGTGTCTTTTTATCTTGTCTGCCTTCTATTATTAGAAGTTGTGGAGCCTCATTAGAGTTTTCCAACATTTTGTTGATTTTTTTAAAGATTCTTTTTATGTGTTATGTTTTGCCTGCATGTATGTATATATACCGTGTGTGCCTGATATCCATGGGGCTCAGAAGAGGGTTCCTGGATCCTCTAAAACTGGAGGTATGGAAAGTTCTGAGCTGTCATGTGGGCACTGGGAATTGAACTCCAGATCCCCTGCAAGAGCAGTAAATGCTGTCAAGCACTGAGCCATCTATCCAACTCCAAGTTTTGAAGCATTTCCAGTAGTTTCTGTGCCTGATGGATTGAGGATCGGAGACTACTCAACCCTCTGGCTCTTTCGTATTCTCCACCCCCTACACCCCTTAAACTCCATACTGAGTAGTAATGCTGAAATGAGTTTCTTCCTTTCTCTTTGTTCTTTGAGTGAGACAAGGATGTAATGTCTTTACATTGGCACTTCTAAATACCAGGTCAGAATGTGTGTATATGCTTTTCTTTCTGAAGTTTGCAGAGGTTCAGAGGTTCACATAAATGGTAGCTAATGCAGGATCCAGGCACAGTGCAGTTTTGGGTCTCTGTGTATTGTTCTTTCTGCTATGTTGTGGTTTAGCTAACAAAAAGGAAAGGCTAAGAGGGAAGGGACATTAAAGGTTGGGAGTCTAGGTTTGGTGGGTGTTCACATGGAGATCAGAGGACAATCTGGAGTATCAGTCCTTAACTTTCTTGCTTGAGGCAGGGTCTCCTGTCACTCACTACTGCATATGACCAGCCATCTGGTATGTGAGCTCCTGGGAATTCACCTATCTCTGCCTCCTATCCTACCATATGTGCACTGGGACTATGGATATACATGACTATATCTGGTCTTCTATGATTTCTGTGGATCTGAATTCTGATGCTTATGGTTATACCAAGCAAACACTGTACTAAGCTATCTCCCCAACCCAGGAATCCAGCTTTTTAATTAATGTAGCTGCTTAGAAGTTTGTTGTTGTTGTTGTTGTTCTCAGTTTAATTAATGAAATAATAAGTTTTTCTTCACAATGAGGAGGCTCATAGCTCTCTTCTGCTCATTCTCTGTCTCTCTCTTATACACATACACAAATGTACACATGCATACATGTGTTCTTCCCTGTGATTTGCCTGACAATTTTTTAATGATTTGCTTTATTTTCTGTGAATGGATATTTTGCCTGCATGCAAATGTGTTTGTGACTTGCATGCCTGATGTAAATGACACCCTGGAACTGGAGTTATAGGCAGTTGTGAGCTGCTATGTGGGTGTTGGGAATTGAACTTGGGCCCTCTAGAAGTGCAGTAGTGCTCTTAGGCACTGAGCCATCTCTCCAGCCCCAGTTTTGATTAAGTATAATGTGAGTCAAACATAGGGACTCTGAACCAGGCATAATATCATATGCCATTAATCCCAGTCTTTGAGAGGCAGGCAGATCTCTGTGAGTTTGATTCCAGTCTCATCTACATAGTGAGTTCCAGTACAACCAGGGCTATGTAGAGAGACCCTTCTCAGAAGAAAAAAACAAACAAACAAAAAGAATCAGAGAGACTGTGTTTAAAGAAGCCTCTTGCAAAATGAATGGTAAGTCTTCATCTACTGCCATATCCTGGACATACGGTTTCCTAGTTCCCATATTAAATGGTCACAAATATGCTTTAATTGTTGACAAATATTGCCAAGAAAAAACTGTTTTAGTCATATAAATCCTTCTTCAGTTTACCAGTTATGGAGTTTGAGGGGTATGAAAGCTAGCTGCCTTGTCCTAGCTTTAAGTCACTAATTTAAATGGATAAAGACTCCAGTGGCAAATGTGGAGTGCCTCCTGCTTGTGTAAGTTTCTCATTTGCATGGCATCTTATTTGGCATAAATGAAGCTCCCCTGCCTTAGTTCAGATAGATTTGTATGTGAGAAACCAGGGTAAGTAAGCAGAGTGCCTGAATATAATTGTCCTGAGTAAGAAGTGCCCAAACGAGGGGAAGTTTAAGGTTTAGGAGAGGTGAGTGTCGGATTCGCAGATTCCAGATTACAAAACATTCCTGAGAACTCTGATGCTTCCTATGTTTCACTGTAGAAGGAACATGGAGGGAGGTATTGTCCAGTGAGTTATATGTACACCTGTAGTGATAGCAGCAGCAGCAGCAGCCTTTGAACCATATTTTGGCCTTGGTCTCCAACTTGACAAGGATATTACCATCAAGACAATGAAATCCTGTCTTACAGATATTAATAATTAAGGGATGTGTTCCCATTTTTTTATCAGTTTGATATGCTTTGTTGGCAAATTGAATCCATTATCACATGGCTATTGAGAACTGTAGCTGTGTCCAACTGAAGGATCTTAGAAACGATCTGACTATACATATCTCCATGTTAGTACTTTTTGTGCTATTTGTTTTGCATGGGCATGTGAGTAGGTTTTGATGGTTATATGCATGTGGAGTGGTGTGTGTGTGTGTGTGTGTGTGTGTGTGTGTGTGAATGGGAGGAGTCCCTTTGTGTGTGCTACAAAACCAAAAAGTCAGCATTGAGTGTCTTCTTTAATAGCCTCTCTACGTTATTTTCTCAATGTTCATATTGAGACAGTGTCTATCCCTAGGACCAGAAGCTTGCTGCTTCAACCAGACTGGGTGGCAAGTGAAGCCCTAAGATCCTCATTTCTTTCCTTCCTCAGCCCTGGGATTATTTGTTTGTGCAGCCAAGTCCAGCTTTTTACATGGGTGCTGAGCTTACATGGAAGGAACTTTGCCCATTGACCCATGTTTCTGGACCCTTGTTTGTTTTGTAAGACAGGATCTTGCTATGAGGCACAGATTGGTCTTGAACTTGTAAACCTGCTCTACTTCCTTTCCAGTGCTTGGATGGCAGGTGTGTACCACCACTGTGCCCAACTGAGATTTATGTCAGTGAACACATATCACTGTGGGAAACAAGAGCAAAAGTAATGCTTCAATCTTTCTTTGAAGTTTTAAAAATATATTTATTTGTATTTCACTGTGTGTGTGGCGATGGCACATATGTGTAAGTCAGAGGACGACCTCTAGAGTCAGTTCTCATGTGAGTCCTGGGGGTGTAATTTAGGTCATTAGGATTGGCAGCAAGCACCTTTATTCACTGAGTCATCTCTAATTCTACAATTTTACTAAAATTGAATCCTCTAATTACAATTAAAACAATCACCAAGAACTTGTGACATTGCTTGACTTGGGTCTGGAAGAGAGCATAGGTAACCAGGTTTGAGATGTTGTTTGGGTGACATCAGATACACTGCTAGAGCTTTCTCTTAGAAAATCATCTTTTAGGATCACAGGGTCAGACCTCAAACCTCGTTGGTGTGGTGTGGATGACCATGTTGGGAAAGGCAAGTGTGTGTGGCAGCTCCCTCCCTGTGCTTACTAACAATGTCTGTACGTGTTTCTCATCCAGCCTGGCCAAACTGAAGCCGGAGAAGAGATGAACAACATACCAGATTCAAACTGTTTTGAGCAGCACAAGTTGCACAATTGTTTTTTTAAAAGCATGTTCACTGGGCTGTGGCTCAGTCTAGAGTGCTGCCTTGACTGTACAAAGCCCTGGTCTCAATCCCCAGCACACTATAAACTATGTGGTGGTGCATGCCTGAACTCCCAGCACCTGGGACATGGAGGCAGGAGGATCGGAAGTTCAAGGTCGTCCTCCACTACATAGTGAGTTCGAGGCCAGCATGGGATACATGAAACGTGTCTCAAAGAAGTTTTTTAAAAATCCAAACAATAAATTTACTTTCAATGAATTATTAGTGACTGTTGACGAGTTTTGTTTATGCCATCAGTTTGGATGACTTAGGGATTTCTATTATAGTCTATTTGGAACTTTTAATACTGATTTCATTCTAGGGGCTTTAAATTGCTGTTTCAGAAAACAGGGATGCGGGGTTTTTTTTTTTCCCCTCTCAGGTTTTTGTTTTGTTGTGCTTTGATTTTTAATTATCCATTTTTTCCTGATGGATGTGCATAGTCCTGGTGTCTTTAGAAATCATGGGCCTGAGCCAGGCAGTGGTGGCGCACGCCTTTAATCCCAGCACTCGGGAGGCAGAGGCAAGCGGATCTCTGTGAGTTTGAGGCCGGGATGGACCGACAGCCTCCAAAACAATACAGAGAAACCCTGTCTCATAAAATAAAAAAAAAGAAAAAGAAAAAGAAATCATGGGCCTGCAGATACCAACTCAATGTTAGAGTCACTGCTTCCCAGACGAAGTATAGCAACAAAGGCTCCAGTCTGGTCTCCCACACACCCTGGCAGCAAGGCAGAACCCTGGATTGGGTTGGGGAGCAGGACTGGATTAAGGGGTGTGAATGGCAATCATCTCCCCACTGGGGATGCAAAGAAAGGTGCAAAGATCAGTACCTAAATGGTTGGAGCTGAAGGGACATCTTGACAACAGTTAGTCCCTTAGTTTGCTACAGGTCCAGATGAAAAAGCAGTAAGAAAAGAGCTTTTGTGGTAGCAGTATTGGCAGCTTCTCCTAGCAGTTCAAAGTAGACCCACTTGTCCACAGCATTGTGGAGAGCATGGGGTGGAAAAGGGCATACTCAGTAAGGAGTGTCTCCAGGAAGAGCCATCAGGCCCAGCATTCTTTTCATGTGGTAGAGCCCAACTCTCTCCTGTTTAGGATGAAGCTGACTGCTATGTAATAAGCTGTAAGTCTCCATGCCTCCATTGTTGATGTCCCTAGAACTCTAGGATACAGATGCTTGCTTCTGTTTCCTGAGATTATAAGAACTGTGTGTCCTGATCAGACATTTACAGGAAGATGGAAGCCTCTCAGTAAAGGCTGGCCTGGAGTCACTTTGGGTGGGCAAGGCCTTGACGCCTCTCTGCTCCTGGATAAGTGTATAGTCCCCAACTCACCCAGGAAGACCCTCATCTGGACCTTAAGGAGCAGCTAGTGCAGGTTTTTTACCATTGAAAACCCAGCAATACCTGGAGTTTTGGGGTACAGTCCTAATTGCCTTATAGATTAAAGAGACCAATTTCACACTGGTTTAATTAGATGGTGGCCTGTGCATTCCTCTAAAGATTTAAGGACTGCTGTTTAAACACATTCATGTAGGGCTGGGGTGTAGCTCAGTTGGAAGAGTGCCTGCCTAGCTTGCACAAAGTCCAGGGTACAATTCCCCGCACATAAACTGTCATGGAGGTACATACCTGTAATTTCAGGACTCAGGAGTTATAGGCAGGAAGAGCAGAAGCTCAAGGTCAGCCTTGCCTATGTAATGAGCACAAAGCCAACCTGGGATAAAGGAGCCCCTGTCTCCAAAAGATAAAGAATAAATAAATAAAACAGAAAATACATTTATAAAACTGAGTGACTCGCTGAAATGGAAAGAACTAGGATAGAGATGCTTTTCATTGTACTTTTGTTTGTTTGTTTTGTTTTTATTGAGAATAACCTTGTTTTGTAGTTGCCCAAAGTGGGGAGGTTTTCTTGAGCTAAATTATGTATCTGTAAATCCCAAGGACTTAGAATGTGCTGCTTTCAAATCAGAACAGGGTTTCCTGTTTCTTTACCCTGGAAAGTGTTAGATTGGCCTGGTAGCATTGTTTGGTTTGGGGTACTGATCCGTATTTTCCAGGTATCCTTCTTCTCATTAGAACATTTAAACGGCATCCCCTAACACCCACAGTTCTGGTGGCTCCAAAGCTGCTTTTATGTAGAGGCGAGGTGGCACGGAGTTGACAGCTGCTGTCCTCTGCAGACCTATAGCGTGAAGATAGAATGTCCACATCAGGAGGGTGACACCTGCTTTATAGTCTCTATATAGCAAATCTTTTTGTAAAAGGACTTTTTGACAGTTCTGAGATGCTAAGTCAATTTCAGTCCTAGACTCTTGTAGAAAATGGAATCTTTTCCCGCAATTGACGTGAAAATTGAAGGCTAGTGACTATTCACTTCCTAATAACAAAGGGTAAATAAATGCTATCACACCATTGAAAGATGTACTAGAGACGGGCTTTGTGGCATTCACATCAATGTGGTGCTTTTATCCATGCCGTTGGAAGCCCTTATCTTTACCATCTAATGTGATAGATCAAGTAGACATTATTCCCAAATGTGTTTTTTTTCAAGACACAAATTATTATATAAAGTAATTGTTTTGTCCTCACAAAGTACTTTTAAGGAAGTGTCTAGAAGCCTGATATAACTGAACAGCTTATGGCTTTCTTCTGATGTATGTTTAGTAATAGCCTATTTAGAAACAAAAGGTTGAATTTCCCATCATGGTTAAATATCCCTGAGACCTGCTCTTGGCCTTCACTTATATTTTTTTTTTGTTCTGGGGTCCTGTAGTCACGCCTACTTTCAGTGGTGAGGGGAATCCTGGAGCTGCCCTGTTCTCTTTAGCCTGATCTGGGCTCTGGTGCTAACAATTTCTTCTTAGCCCTGCATCTTCATTGCCTGATCACCCACATTGCCCTACATTCTGCCATATTGGAGAAAAATCAATCAGATATACCCCCCCTTCCAACTCCTGGCTTCTCTTCACAGCTAACACACCCCTCTCCCAGTCTTATGTAGCCCAGGCTAGACTGCAGTTTCCTGTGTAACCAAAGATAACCTTGAACTTCTGATCCTCCTGCCTCTACCTCTTGAGTGCTGGGATGATGGGTGTGTGCCACCATGCACCATTTATGGGGTGCTGGGGATGGAACCCACAGCCTTGTGAATGTCAGCTGAACATTTTCCCGAATGTGTCACATTCTGAACCCCTCCTGTTTTCCCTTGACCCTTTCACTAAGTCTCTGTTCAACCATGCTCTGCAAAGCCCGCCAGCAGTCACCACTCTGCTCTTGCTCTTCCTGGCCTGTGCTGGTCCCATCTGCTTTCTGCCCACTCTGCTTACTTTTCTTCCTAATCCCATATCAGTTAATCCTCTAATTCTGGGGTTCTACAGGACCCGTCCTTTCTCCCCTTTTCTATGCTGTTTAATTCCTTCCTTTTTTCAGTAGCACAGAGGGCTGGGATTTCAGGAACAGGGCCTCTGGGTTCTCAGGCTAGGTAGAGAACTCTCACATTTGTACCTAGTTGGGGCATCTCCTTTGAGTTCTGGTTGCGCGGTGCCCTCTTTGACATTCTTATTTGGATATGCGCTAGTGGCCACAAGGTCCCCTGTCTGCCCCCAAAGCTGTGTATCCCTCTCTTCCTTTTCCCTATAGTGGCTCTCTTCTTCACTTGATTAGCTTCAAAACCTGAGAACAATCCCTGACAGCAATCTTACATCCAACACCGGGCTTGTGAATATGCAGAAGTCCTTTTGGTTTGCCCTAGCCCCCATCTATTACCCTGGCAATTCATTGCCTGCCCTGGATCCTCTATGGCCACAGAAGGCAGCCTGTCAATGGCCAGAGTCAGAAGTGGAGGCTGGGAGGTGTCTATGGGACAATGTCTAGAGTTGACTGGAGGTTGGGAGCAGAGGACCTGAGTGATTGTGGTCTTTTGACCCATGCGTGCAGCCTGTGCCCTTCTTGGTTTGTGCAACACCTGCCCAGTACGCCCTTGCAGCTGGAAGCCAGAGCTGTAGTGTGTCCCTATTCTCAGTACCCCGCATAGCTTTCCACATCACCGAATTCCAAGTGAAAACCTTGGTCACCGTCCCAGAGGCATTGCTTGGGATGCTGGCCTCCTCTCCTCCTCAGCCCCCCTGAATGCCATCTGCTGCTTGCAGTCTGCTACACTGGCACTTCCTTCTCCGCTTCTTCTAATATCCTTTATCCTTTCACTGGCTGTTGCCTACCTTGATCTATCTGCTTCCTTGGGTTAAACTTGACAACGGCAAGGAATGTTGACTTCTTTGTCCACTGTGTCCTTAGTGCACAGTCAGCACTGGGGAGTCCAACAGAAGCCAAGTGTAAACAGCCTGCTCCTTGACTTCTACCTCTGTCTAAAGCCTCTTCCACAGCTTCTGGGACAGCTCCACCTGGCTCGCTGGGACTGTTGAGAGTGCCTGGCCATAACATCACCTCAGAGGAGCCATCAAACATTGGCCCAGAAGCCAGTATAAACATAGACCTGGTTCCTGGGTCATTAACTATAAGTGGACTTTTACACCCTAAGCCATAAAGGGTAGCCTTCTGGGCAGGATCATTACAGAAGCATGACCTGGCAGAACTACAGAGTCACTGATGCCAGAATCCCAGTGCACGGCACAGATGAGAGGGATAACTCTCCCTACTGCACCCCTAGTCTAAGTTACCAGGCACTCCTTGCCCACAGGATGATGGCCTTGGGAGACCATCCCTTTGACTGGCTTCCCAGAATTCCCTTTTTCCTGGTCAGTGTTTCCTAGCAACTTCCTAGAAACCCCTTCTCCTTTACCACATGGTTTCTTTTAAATCCAGACAGTGGCAGCAAGTGTTGAGCAAATGAGGCCTGTTTAGTAGGCAGTAGTCAGGCAAGAGGGGCACCCCTGTCTGTCTGAAGGAACTATGCACTTAGTGGCAACGCTGCTTCCCCAGTTTGAAAAAGGTTGCCACTGGCCATAACTACCTTGCACATGTGCATCCTAGCACAGAGCAGACATTGTACGGGGAGTTCTTCCCATGCCCTGTAGACCTACCACGTGTCTCTGCTATCAGTAACCCTAATGATATGTGTGTTCTCCAGTACAGCAGCTTTCACAGAAGGTATCCTAGACACGCTCATTCCCCCATGGGTCATTCACAGCTCCCCAGGTCTGAGGGTCTTGTTCTATAGAGTTGATCAATTTCAGCATGGTGTTAATAATGCATTTGCCATATGAGGGTCTTTCTAAGATTGAAAGCATCAGAATTCAGAAGAGGGAGTAGGATCTTTCTCGTAAAGAAGCCAAGAACCCTTGCTCAAAGGTTATGAGCAGCCATTGAGGACTACATTGGCATCAGGCCTCTTTCCTTCTGGATGGCAATTCACATGTGCAGGTACACATGCCTCAACCACAGGGGGTGCTCTGGAGCTGTCTCATTCTCCTGCAGGCAAACCTGGAATACATATGCTGCTGCTGTGTGGACACAATTGGGAATTAGGCTCCTCCTGCAGCCCAGCATCTTCTGGCACTCCTAAATGAGGTGTGGTTTGACAGGGTGATGACAGCCACACCTCCTTAGTCTCTCTTTCCATAATATTTATAATACTTACATTGTAATTAACTGCTCCCCACCCCCAGGCTCTCTATCTCTCCTTATAGAACAGTTTTTAGTCTTTGTAAAAGAAAACTAAGAGGACCTGGGGATGTGGCTGAGTGGACCCACACTGCACAGATTGAGCATGATGGTACACTTGCAGACCCATGGGGGAGGCGGAAGAAAGAGGAGAAGTTCAAAGTCATCCTACACTACACAAACCCCCCTTGGGGACCTTATCTCAAGAAAGACAATTTCATATTGGTCTACATAGCACCAGAAGGTTGAGGTGACCTGAGTTGACTGTAGATACCCATCCTTGCCATATTCCAGTCATCACATTACAGTCTGTTGTCGCCATTACTCCAGAACGCCCATTTCTGGCTTTGTACAAGTTCACCCCATGACTTCTTTACGGGAAAAGTGTCCCTTGCACAGCCTGCTGCAGCTGGCATTTAGCAGTCATCATCGCATGCTCAAGCTGGTGCACATCTGCTGAGACCATTTCTTTCCCTAACCCGTTTCAACCTCACCATAGCCCTGAAGGCTGCTATTTTTAGCTATATTTTATGGGCAAAGAAACTAACAACACCCAGGTTCAGTGGAGTGACCTGACTTGCCAACTCACACTGTGAGGGGATGGAATTGCTAAACCGAAATCGGTGTTCTACCTTGGGGCTAAATCCCTGAGCCAGGTGCCAAGCTGGCCAGCCTTCTTGTCTCCCTTGGGGATCACGCTGCCAGACCTGTGCTTGGGCCACAGCTGTTATGAAATCCACTCCAGTGTCACACACTGCTCTCGTGTGTACTGCCAGAGGCACACATTCCTGTCGCTAGCTCTGAGACACAAAAGTTTGTGCCCTTTGGTCCTGACTGTTGAGTTTCTGTTTCTGCCTAGTTTCTGTACTCTTCTTTTACTGCCTCCCTGGTTCTTTTATTACCCACAGATTACTTACTTCTCCCTTAGCCCCCATTTCCTTTGTTGCAGTCCCTGGGATAGGATCCAAGGCTTCCTGCTTGTCAGACAAGCACCCCACTGTTTGGCTGCATTTCCCAAGCCCATCCTCCAAAATTAACCTTAAGGAGTTTGTTAGGGAAGCAAACACTGCCACCTGTACGTACCTCCTCTCCTAAGTGACTGTGCTTCCCGTGATGGCAGAGTCCCTTCACCAACACTGCTGGCGAGCATAGCCTGCTTGCTCGCTCTCCTCCCACAGTTCTGTGGCTGCAGTCACTGCTGCTCCTACGTGCTATTCCCCCATCCCTTACATGCACCTTCTTGTACCTCAGACCACGCTCCACCTCTGCCTGTTCTTCACTCTGCTATTAAAGCAAGTGTGCAGTCATCCTGGCCTCCTCAGAACCTGTCTGCACTCCTCCCTCCAGGGCTAATTTTACCTTGGCTGTCTCTGTCTGCTAACCGATGCTGACTGTGCAAGAGACCATGGTGCTCCTCTCAGGCTCTGCCCCTGAACAAGGTGCTGGGCTCAGCAACTCATCGTCTGCTTTGGTTCTCTCTGGGATCTTCCATGCTGGCCTTTGCGGTCCAGGTCTGTGGCTTGGTGCTGGAGCATTTTTTCCAGCATGTGTGAGGTCCGGTCATGGTTCTGTCTCCAGCCACTGTCTCTTTATTCAGCAAATCTTGGGCATTTCCCACTCTCATAACTGATGTCAACCACATCTCAAGGTGAACTTTTAAACTTCATGGATTTCACATTTTTTCCCCCAAAAGGAAAAAAAAATTAGGCTCAGTTCTATAGTGGTCTTGAACCTAGTAGGCATGCACTCTACCACTGGACCACATACCCCAAAGCCCTTTTCCTGTTTTTTTTTAATAACAAAGACGTTGTCGTTGGTCTCCTTCGGAGGATTGATTTGGACACAGTTACTTATAAGAAAATCTGTCAAGGGTGCTGAGAGGACTGAAGTTGTTCTGCTCCTTTTTTGTTGTTTGTTTGGGGTTGTGTGTTCATTAGTTTGCGGCAACTGTAGCCCAGCTGACCTCAAACTCATTATGTAGCCTAGAACTTCGAACTTCTGAATCTGCTGCCAGTACCTCCAGAACACTGGGATTCTGGGTATGGGCCAGTCAACACACCTGGATCTGTTCAGTGCTGAGGATCAGCCCCGGGGCTGTGTTCTTGCTTGGAAAGCCGTTCGACAGCTGCTTCTCCACCGCTAGAAGTCCTGTGGTGTTTTCTCTGGGACATCATAGCAGCTCCTGGACACGGAGTACAGTGGCAAAGTAGAGGTTGCTGTGTGTGCAGGCACACTCGGCTGCCACGGAGCTGTCCTGGCCACACTGAAGAAAGGATGATCACTCTCTAGTTAGGCGTGGTTCAGCACCCCTTCCTCAGTCCTCAGGTGGTGCGGGCTCGCAAATGAGCAGGAACCACTCAGCACAGTACCGTCAGCACTGTACCTCCTGATGGGTGCTTGTTAAAGATTAACTTTTACTGCTCCTCTGTAATTGGTCAGTCCTGCTGTAGCTCATTCCTGGTGAAGGAAGTTGGTGTGGTCTGACACAGCACTGTCCCCAAGTTCCTGCCGTGGGATCTTAGTGCCTCAGACAGGAGACTGCCTCTAAGAGGAACACCTTTCATTCCTCAACACAAATAAGCCCCTCTCCCGTGGCTCCTGCCAGCCATACTGTTAAGACGACTGCTGGCCTCATAATGAGTGGACTCCTCCCCAGTGGCTTTATGAAAGGGTGGTATGGACTCTGTCCTAGAAGCTTAGAGCAGAAGGGTCTAGCCCAGACTAGCAAGTCTGTCTAGTTTCAGAAAATGACTGAAGAGAGTGTGTGCCTCCGTGGGATTCCAGTGTTTGTATCATCCTCCTCAGTAATGAATACACTCAACTTCATTGCCTACTGTATATGCAACATACAATTGCCAAAGTAAATTTCCCAAAGCATTGTACACGTCACCCTTTGATGCCCTCTGGTCATGCTAGCAGTCCTGGAAGGTAGGGGTGCAAGGTAGAATCCCTCCCCAGCATTTAGCTTTGCACACCAGGCTCTGGGCATCGCTTTCCCCAGTCACAAGGCAAGACAGCCAGCGCTTCCTGCCATGCAGACAGTTCTGAATCAGAAGTTGGCTCCCGTTCCTGAGGTTAGGTAAACGTTGGCCACTGCTGCTGTTACTATATTCCTAATTCACTTTGTTTGCGAGACAGGATCTCAGTCCCATCAGCCCAGGAATAGCAGCAGTAGTCAGCTTACAGTGTTCAGGTTGTGAGGGGCTCGTTTTTAAGTAAAGAATTCCCAAAGTACAACTTGCAGCAACAGCGCATTCGTGGCACATCTTCCTGACCATGTTTGTGTCTCACTTGAGCAGGGAGAGGAGTTCTCACATGCTTACTGGGTTTCTTTTTTATCATGTGTTGGGGGCCAGTATCATCTATACCTCGCCTTGTGGGATGAGAGTCAAAATCAGTGCTGCCTCTAAACTCTTCCTCGTAGTTGCACAGGGAGAAAAGGTCAAACAAATGACTTTGCGTCATCAATGCACCAGCTCTGTTTATTTGCCCCCTGTCTTCCCTGTTACCCTCCTCCTTCCCTCCCTCCCTCCCTCCCTCCCTCCCTCCCTCCCTCCCTCCCTCCCTCCCTCGCCCTTTCTATCTGTCTCTTCCCCTCTCTCCCACTTTCTCTTTTGCAGTGGTTAGGATCAAACCCCAGGCTTTGTGCATGCCAGAAAGGCACTCTGTCAGTGGAGTTATATCCTCAGTCCACTTATATAAGTTTATTTATACTACCATCTACTGTGGCTCCACCTGTGATCTTAATATCTTTTACTCCCAGAGTCCTTTTCTTTGTAGACCCCTCAAAAACAAAAACAAAAACAAAACAAAACAAAAAAGCACTTTTAACCATACTTTTTATTGTAAGAGGAAAAATTTTAAAATTACTTTAGATTGAATTTTAAGATTTCATTTTTATTTTTATTCATGTGTGTGGGGGGGGGGTTATGCCAAGTGAATAGAGGGCATCTGTTCCCTGGGGATGGGATTACAGGTGGTTGTGACCTGGTGAGAACTAAACTCAGGCCTTCTGGAAGAGTAGTGAGCATTCTTAGCCAGCGAGCCGTCTCTCCAGCCCCTTATTTTGTCAGTTTAAGTTCCACAAGAAGTAATGTGTCTCTACGCAGCACTGTGTTTCCACGGAGCACAAGTAACTACTGAAAGGACTTTCTCTCCTGAGAAGCATCTCCATCCTTCCAGCTATGTGGGTGATGGACAGCAGATCACTGTGGAGAACGCTCAGCCAGGTCCTAGAAGGATGGGTGTGCTCTCTCACTCTCACCAGCCAGGGAAGACACAAACCACCACAGAAACAATGAGGAGAAAATGAAAAACATTTCTAAGTCTTACACTAAACGCCTTTGTCAGTCCTTGGCAGCACTGGCTATTTATAGAGAGATTAGTTGTCAAGGACTGTAGGTGCTACCTGAAAGGTGGTATGACCTGAAAGGTGAGACCATGTAGAGAGAAGTTGCAGAGAAGGGCTGTCCTCTTTGAAGCATGTATGAAACAGAGCATGCCTCGTCTTCTGTCTTCAAGGCAGTATTTCTGTGGCTGCAGCACAGACCCAAATAACCACTTTGTCAAGCCTGGGTGAGAGATTGGTTGTCCAGCCCCCTTTATATTCAACCATCTTGAATACATATTTTATTACCATAATTTTGTTATTGATATCATTTGATTTTTTTTAAGACAGGGTCACCTGTAGTGCAGAGTAGCAGAGAATTTGCTATGAAGCTCTTGAGGACCTTGAACTTCTGATCCTCCTATCTCCACTTCCCAAGTACTGGGATTATGAGTATGCACTCCTCTGCCTGGTTATATGTAGTGCTAGGCAAGCACTCTATCAACCAAGCTGTATTCCCAGCCCATATTCTGTTACTTTTGAGTTGAAGTAAAATATGTAGAGTATAATGTTTACTAGCTTGACCATTTTGGTGTACAGTTCAGTGGGCATTACATCATGCACCTTCCACTCCCAGAGCTCCATCATCCTGCACAATGGCATTATAAACCATGGATCCTGAGTGTTCTTCCCTCCCACCTGCTCTGTGACTCTGCCCCTCTAAGTCACAGGACGTCATGTGGTATGATGTCCCCAGGATTTTATCTATATTTACTGTGTATCAGAATTCCCCTCCTTTCAAGTCTGAGTAGTATTCCATAGCATGTGCTCACTCCTTTGTTAACAGTTCATCTGTCTCTTTGCACTCTGCTGCTCTGGATGCTGCTGCTGTAAATGTATGTCTGTCCCTGTGTTTCCGTCCTCGGTGACATCATACCATTTCAGCTCTAGCCATGTCCTCGGCATTCTCAGGAGTAAGACTAGAGAAGGGGATGAAGCTAAGTCAGCCTTCTAAAGCCCTTTAGTCTCAATCAGACAGAGGAACTTTTTTGGGGGGGTGAATATCAAAGATTTACCAGAGTCCTTTGACTCTTACATCCTTATAGTTTGTAAATGATTGCACAGCTTGACCTCGTTTACCTTACACAGCAAGTGGTTCTAGACCCCTGGCTTTGTCCTGCTAGTGGTTTGTGTCATTAGCTGCTGTTTCGTTGTCAGTACAGAGAAGTATAGCTACTGAAATCTGTAAGTAATGCTGACCATGCCACCAAACAACCTATGATATGCAAGAGACTTCAAGAGTGCAAAGGTCACCCATGTGTCTTCCTGGTCTAGAGAGGACTTGTAATTACACCGCTACAATAGTGTGCCTCACACTTGGTGATCTCCAAGGCTATCTCTCAGAAGCCGATTCCAGGGATACTGTGCACTGAGGAATCACAAGCTATGCATTTTGGTAGATGCCCAAGGAGCTTAATTTTATTAAGATATGTACTTTACAGTATAGTCAGTTTAACACTGACACAGTATTATTTTGGAACTGTGGAAGATAGCCAGATAATTAAAGCACAGGGGACCTGAGTTTGATCCCAAAACCTGTACTTAAAAAACATACCAAAAGCTAAGCACTGTAGTTACTCACACTTGAGCTTGTAATCTCAGCACTACAAAGGCAGGAACTTGCAGGACTAACTGACCAGCCAGTTTAGCCTAATCCATTAAGTTCCAGGCCAGTGAGAGACCCTGTCTAAAAAAAAATCAAAATCAAGATGGATATCACCATAGTAAGGACACCATAACACTTACCTCTGGACTCAACATATATCCACCAGAACTAACATACTCACTTTCCTGTCTCTCTCTCTCTCTCTCTCACCTGGCATCTGTGAACCCATAGCATACATAGGATTAAGATGAGAGGAATTACAGTCAGATACACAAATTCTCGTTTAAAGACTTACTGAACTGTGAATTTCACACACTATTTATAGGCAGGGCATGTGGGTGGG